TTAAACTGCAGTACTGCAGCCAACTGGCTTATGACCCAGGTTCAATACCAGGTAGCCAGCTCAAGATTTACTTGGCATTCCATCCTTCTGAAGTCAGTAAATTGAGTACCAGCTTGCTGAAGGGGCAGTGCGTAGCCTGCATAATTAAACTGTAATTATGGGGTAGTATATAAACAGCACACTGCTTTTTCCAAGAAAAAGGTTACTTGTTCTTTAAATACAATTCAAAGACAAGCTCAGGTTATATTTTTATCCCCCCCCCCTCCAAAATCATAAACATCAGCTATCAGCTATCCTTGCCTTTGGATTGTTTAGTAGCAAGTCACAACTGTAATCTACATCACTGCACTTATGTCATTATAAATAACCTCTACAATCCTGGCCATTGGGTCGTTTCTAAGGAGGAAGTAATTAGGCAGCTTTGTCACTGGAGATGGTAATATGTTGTCCTCTTCAGAGACACTGTCTTCACACTCAACATGCAAACAGATTACTGTATTCTAATTTGCAATTTCTGAAATTGTGGAAGTTCTTAAGAGAATAATCATGAATACTTTAGTACTTAAACCAAACCTGCTTCTCCTTATGAAGCTGACTATACTTGTGCTTTGATCTTCAGCCTTCTCCAACCTAAAGATGCACTCTGAAGGTGATGTGGTGCAAGTCCTATCATTACCCAACAGCTGGATGCAATATGCAGCTGGAATCTCAATGCAGCTGGAAGTACTAAGCTTGAGATGGTTGCACTGTGAAATGTAAAAGATTACTTGATGTAACAGAAAAAATAAACTTAAAATACTATACAGCGGTGCCCCGCATGATGACGATAATCCGTCCCGTGAAATTCGCTGTTTAGCGAAATCGTCGTCATGCGAAAACCCTTTCCCCATTGGAATGCACTGAAACCCGGTTTAATGTGTTCCCATGGGGAAAATACCTTGTCATCCAGCAAAGATCGCCCATAGGGAAGCCATTTTGCGAGCGCTGGTCAGCTGTAAAAATGGCTGCTCTGCAAAGCATGGGTCTGGAAAACACAGGGCAGCCATTTTGCGAAGCCAAAAAAATCGTCTTGCAAACAAACGGTTCGCGAAGCACCGACCTAATCAGCGTCCAGCAAAAATCTCCATTGGAATGACTGTTTTGCGAATCACTATAGCAATCACAAAAAGTCATGGTTATGCGAATTCGTCATTTAGCGGGGTAATCGTTTAGCAAGGTACCACTGTAGCAATAGGTTTTTGTTTCCATCTTCACAACCTGCTTTGAATCCAAATATTCTAGCTATAGTCAGTTTTATATATTTAATATTTCAGTTATTTAGTAATTGTAATAAATACATTGTATGTAATTAACAGTGTCCTTCTGGGATCCAGAACAAACCTATCTGAAGTGCTATTTGATGTTTTGAAATTTCTGAGAGACAAACAAGCATCTTCTAGGAAATTAAATTATTTTCAAGTCACTGCGGTTCTAGAAGGCACATTTCAAGTTGTGTTGTGTGATTCTTTGAAGATAATGCAAATGTTTACAGTATTTTTATAGCATAAAAACCCATCACACAAAGATGTGTTAGACAAAGGAAAGGGGGGAAAACAGTAAACTGAAACTTTTCATAAGGATTCTAACCAATTAGAGCCAATGGGGAGAATCTCCCATTAAAAGCAAGCTTTCAGACAGAATAGAGACATGAAATATAATCCTGCCTCTCCATATGGTTTACTCAGAAGGAAGTAATACTGTCTCCACTGGGACCTAATTGCAAACTTAGTGTAATATTTTGTTTTCCCTACATCAAAACTGTAGTCCAACCACCATCTATATACAAGGGGCAGAGTTTTCCATATACGATACATATTAACAGCTGGATAGAGAACTGTGTACACAAACAAATGCTTGAGGAACTTTTCCTCCCCTCAATCCAGTGGCCAGAGCTGCAGACACAAGTCCCAATTAGAAAATCAGCTGGAATAGAAACTACCTGATCAGAAGGGAAGAGGTGGGCTGTGGGATGCCAGCTTTGCAATTAGGTGACAAAGCAAGCATCTCCTATGATAGCTCTGCTACCAGTGACGATAACTGTATTGTACAGTCTTTCCCCAAGTTCCCAGCTCAACAGATATTTAGTGCAATCCCAGCTTTTCTACCTTTTTACACAGAGTCTGACAGTTGCAAACAAGGATGGAATTGTCCAAAGATTGTAATGTGACAAGGTTCCTAAACTTTAGTTCTCAGATACTGTTTGACTGCAAGTCTTGAGTGTCCTTGACCACATAGTTAGGGATGATGAGAGTTGTAAACAAACACGAGCTAGGGCGTTCTTAAATGAACAGTGCAAAGATATAGAGAAAAATAATAGAAAGGGAAAAACCAGAGATCTGTTCAAGAAAATAGGAGATATTCAAGGAACATTTTGTGCAAAGCTGGACATGATAAAGGACAAAAATGGTAGGGACTTAACAGAAGCAGAAGACATCAAGAAGAGGTGGGAAGAATACACAGAGGAATTATACCAGAAAGATCTGGATGTCCCAGACAACCCAGATAATGTGGCTGCTGATCTTGAGCCAGACATCCTGGAGAGCGAAATCAAGTGGGCTTTAGAAAGCATGGCTAATAAAAAGGCCAGTGGAGGCGATGGCATTCCAGCTGAACTATTTAAAATCTTAAAAGATGACGCTGTTAAGGTGCTACACTCAATATGCCAGCAAGTTTGGAAAGCAGTGGCCAGAGGATTGGAAAAGATGAGTTTACATTCCAGTAACAAATAAGAGCAGTGCAAAAGAATGCTCCAACTACCTACCGTACAACTGCACTCATTTCACACACTAGCAAGGTTATGCTCAAAATCCTACAAAGTAGGCTTCAGCAGTATGTGGACTGAGAACTCCCAGAAGTACAAGCTGGATTGGACCGAGAACTCCGAGAAGTACAAGCTGGATTTCGAAGGGGCACAGGAACGAGAGACCAAATTGCTAACATGCACTGGATTATGGAGAAAGCCAGAGAGCTCCAGAAAAACATCTACTTCTGCTTCATTGACTACGCAAAAGCCTTTGACTGTGTGGACCACAGCAAACTATGGAAAGTCCTTAAAGAAATGGGAGAGCCTGACCACCTTATCTATCTCCTGAGAAATCTATATGTGGGACAGGCTGTATATTGTCTCCCTGCTTATTTAACTTGTATGCAGAATACATCATGTGAAAGGCTGGACTGGAGGAATCCCAAACCGGAATTGAGATTACAGGAAGAAATATCAACAGCCTTGGGTATGCAGTGATACAACTCTGAAGGCAGAAAGTGAGGAGGAATTAAAGAACCTCTTAATGAGGGTGAAAGAGGAGAGCACAAAAAATGGTCTGAAGCTCAACATCAAAAAAAACTAAGATCATGGCCACTGGTCCCATCACGTCCTGGCAAATAGAAGGGGAAGATATGGAGGCAGTGACAGATTTTATTTTCTTGGGCTCCATGATCACTGCAGATGGTGACAGCAGCCACAAAATTAAAAGAAACCTACTTCTTGGGTGGAAAGTGATGACAAACCTAGACAGGATCTTAAAAAGCAGAGACATCACCTTGCCGACAAAGGTCCGCATAGTCAAGCTATGGTTTTTCCAGTAGCGATGTATGGAAGTGAGGGGTGGACCATAAAGAAGGCTGACTGCAAAAGAATTGATACTTTTGAATTGTGGCGCTGGAGGAGACTCTTGACTGCTAGGAGAACAAACCTATCCATTTTGAAGGAAATCAACCCTGAGTGCTCACTGGAAGGAAAGATCCTGAAGCCAAGGCTCTAATACTTTGGCTACCTCATGAGAAGAGAAGACTCCCTGGAAAAGACCTTGATGTTGGGAAAGTGTGAAGGCAAGAGGAGAAGGGGACGACAAGAGGACAAGATGGTTGGACAGTGTCATGGAAGACAGAACAGCCTGGCGTGCTCTGGTCCATGGGGTCACGAACAGTCAGACACGACTTAACAACAAACAACAAAATAATTGGCTGGATAGGTGTGCCTACATTAGTATACGGGTTTTCCACCTGAAAGTCCCACTAAGCTGAAGGGAATTTACTGCCAAGTAAATTAGATGGCATGCTCAAACTAGTTCCCATTCATCTCCCCCAGACAACTCTAGAAAGTGTAGTCCTACAGGATGGGGGTTGCCATGCATCTCTCCAGAGAATCCTCAATGCCCTGATCATCCTACAGTTTTATGATTCTTTAGGGTTCACCAATGGAATGCATCAAGTGAAGGAAGCTTGGGGTAAAAACTAAATGTTACATATACCGCTTCAGTAGGAACTGAAATCACTTGAGATAGGATTTTGGGAATTCAAAAACTCTCAGTCCCATAATTATCAGTCTAGGGAGTTCCTGCTAAATTATGGGACTGGGAGTTATTAAATTCCAAAAATCGCATTCCTAAAAATCACATCCATGTTCTAGAGATGTGATTCTAGCAGAGCTTTATGTGTGAAAAATCATGCTTGCAAATGAAGCCAATGTTTACCTCCTAATGACAAATAACCAAAAAGCAAACTAATTTGCAAACTCGGGGAAGTATGAAAAACATTTAGTGTTAGCCTTTAGTACTTAAAGATTTTTCTTCTAGTGGTGTTCTTATTTTCAATACAGTATATAGTTTAATCAACCTCAGACCTTTGAAAAGTTCATTGAATTCTACAACCTGCCAGCTTGTGGAACAAAATGCACTTAAGGTTTGAGGCCACACAGACCCTTGTAACTATAAAGGTAACTCAAAATAGTTACAGACCAAGGTACACCACAAAGGAGGTGGCATTTTCCTTGTGATAATATAATAGTAATGTAAGTTATGCTTTAGTTATTTAAGAAAGGAGTTAATTTTAGGTAACCCATTATTTGTAATGACTTACTTCCAACCTCTGGGAATGCCTAAGTACTTTTCTATGAAATGAAGCTAGTTACTTGCATTCCATACAAATATTTAGTACCATTTTAAGGTGTTGCTCAGAAGTAAGACAGTTCTTTTTTTTAACTTACTTTTTTGCCATTACACATTCTGGGAGAAACAAAACCTGGCTCACATAAGGCAACTATGTTTTGGCAATCAGTTTTAGTTTGGGATCAAGAGTCACAAAGCTTTGCAAGATGTTGCCATTTAATTCTTGATCAAAGCAAGGAATTCCTCTCTGGTTTTTGGGTCTTCTCGCAAGACTCCAAGCATGGCGCTGGTGACAGTTTTGCTGTTCATCTTCTGCACACCCCTCATGATCATGCACATGTGCCTGGGAAGAACATTGAAAATGGCATTTTCAATATCAAATTGTGAGCAGAATAGGTTAATAACAGGAATGCTAAAGCTACAGACAACTTACAAGTAGCAATGCAATGTTTAGTACGATTTCTTTTTTAACTGGGTGAAATGATCAGGAAAATCGAATGGCAGATTCTAGAAATGTATTACTCGACATTACAGGAGTACATGTGCCTTTTTAATGCTTCATCTCTCCACAAATATGACCTTAAGGGATAAGACCGGAGTATCAGTTGGTGAATGGAACACTGTTGAACAGGTTTTTTTGGAATGCAGGCAAATTTTTTTAGTGGAATTCAGATGGAATTTAAGAATGCAGTCCTGTTCTCTGTAGTATCTCAGGAACCAGAGAATGTAATGGAACTTTCTTTCCAAGAAAGGGAGGTCTATCCAAGGACATCCTTCCTGAGCAGTAGCACAGCTTTCTGCTTACTGTGGTTGCCTTGGTAATGGTGCTCTGTCAGCAGAGGAACAGAAAGCTGGGTGGCCTGGGAGGCTATTGGGGCAGCCAAAAATCACCTAGATCTTGTGCACCTTGATCCCCCAGTATGCACAGAAGCGGAGCTGGAGAGAAACTAGACCAGCCAAAATCTGTCTCAATGAAGGCAATAGGTGTTTTAACTCTCTCTTAAAAAAAAAAAAAAAAAAAGACAGCTCCCCACTTCTGGCTTGAGGTCTGGAAGAGCATGTTCCACCACAGACCTCCCTACCATAGCCCCCGATAACAGTCATATCCAGATCGTTCTGCTCAAGGCTTGTTCACAACCACTGATGTGGTTGGCAGCAGTGTTTTCAATTGTCTGAAAATGGTCCGTCATAACTTGTGTGCATGTGGGTTTTTTCCTTCCATAGAGTGGAGCTGTTAAGATGTCAGTGTTGAAGTAAACAATATGACCAAGAAGGTAGGAGGGGTTTGTTGTTGCTGTTGTTATCTGCTGCAAAGTCATCCACAATTTATGGTGACCCCATGAATGAACAATCTCCAAAATGTCCTGTCCTCAACAGCCCTGTTCAGCTCTAACAAACAGAAGCCTGTGGCTTCCTTTAGGGTGTCAATCCATCTCGTATTTGGTCTTCCTCTTTTCCTGCTGCCTTTCACCTTTCCCAGCACTATTGTCTTTTCCAGATAATCTTTCCTTCTCATGGTATATTCAAGAGTATGACAGCCTCTGTTTTGTAATTTTTGCTTCCAGAGATAGTTCAGGCTAGATTTGATCTAGGATCCACTTGTTCATCTTTCTGGCAGTCCAGACTATCTGCAAAACTCTCCTCTGGCATCTCAGTTCAAATTAATCAATTTTTCCCCATCAGCTTTTTTTTTTAACTGTCCAGCTTTCACACCCATACATGGTGACTGGAAATACAATAGAAATATTGTATTTGGTTTCGAACAACACATCTTCACACTTTATTATCTTTTCTAGTTCCTTCATTGCTGCCCTTCCAAGTCTTAGTCTTCTTCTTCCTCTTAAGAGGTATACCATCCCTATTATCATCTTCCTAAATTTCCCCATTGTACCCACTGAATTAAATATGACTTTTCAATGGATATGTCTAGGATTGTACTACAATTTGGCTCCAATCCTATTGGTTTCAATTTTTTTGTTTAGGTTTTTCAATAACAGTTCTACATCATCATATCTCTAGTACCAATTCTACATAATGCTTACAAAACAAATGGGGGATGAGTATAGGGAAAGGGGCAGTAAGGGAGAGGAAAAGCAACCAAATAGACTATTTGGGGGGGAATGAATGAGTCACTTACGATGCCTCTATGACCACAGCCACTCCAGCTGGTTTCAGAGCTTCAGTAACAGCCAGGGCAATCTGTTTCGTAAGCCGCTCCTGGACTAGAAAATATTGTTCTTTATGAATAAAGATATTGTTCTGAATCCACTGGCAAAAGCAACTACATGCTCATTTTGCTTTAAGGAGAAATATGATGTTTATGTTTATAATTTTTTTGTAGGCAAAAAATGCTCAAAACCAATATTTCATTGAATTGCTAGAGCTTTTTTTTTTGGCTCAAGGAAGGACAAAACTGCCTCCCATCTGTGCATTTTGGGGATGCAGTAAAACGAACAAAATGTCAACACTTTGAAGCTAGTAGTTACTACCTTGATTTCATCAGTGTGCTTTGGAAAACAAGTATGTTGTGGGGAACCATCATTCCAAAAGGTACTGCTGGCAGCTCCCTACCCTTACACTCCAGTATTAAACTAGGGTCAATATAATGAAACTGAATGATTCTGGGGTATCATAAGAGAACTAAAATGGCAGCTACAAGTGAGGAGCATCAATGATTTTTATCCCCAAATGTATTTCTAAACAATGTCTCCTCCAAGGAGACCACACTCTGTGTCTCTGGATACCTACACAGCCTCCTTGGTATGTGACAATGAGGACTGGCAGCTCAGCAAGAGCCCATTTACGGTGATTTTTGGATTTAAATGTGAGACGTAGGGACAATTGAAAAATGGTATGTGTGAAGCAGGCTATGCAGAGGCCATATGAGGAATGTAAAGGCCACCTTATGAATTCCAAAAGCAATCTTTCTAGAGCATGAAAGATACTGAAAAAGACAAGTGTGCTTTTGACATGTCCTGAAGCCCTGAGGAATGAATCCCCCAAATGTAAGGCTGCCAGCCTGGCAACATGCCATTCCCTGAAATTTCATGTCCAAAGTCTGAGACCTGGAAAATGGACTCCAAAGCCCAGATGTCAGAATTAAACCCAGAGATATGTCAACCCTACCAGCATGGTTAACCACCATTCCAAGTGACAATGAGAAGAGCGGTATCTAAAGGGTATCTAAACACATCTAAAGGGCACTAGGGAAAGATGGTTCAGAGTCACCCCCAGTATTAGAGTGTAAGACATACGATAGCAAGTAGAGTGGTCACCTGACTGTGAAAAAGATACAAACCTTGAAGTCTTCGGCTAAATATTTCAACAATTCTGCATGAAGAAAAGATTGATATGGTAAGAAAACAAATAAATAATGTGGTTTTTTTAAAGCACAAAGGCATCTGACAAGACTGAATGACAAATGTTAACAGAAATGCAGAACAAGTAGAGCATGCTAATTTAGGAATAATAACAGGTTGCAGTTATGAAGTTTTTACTTCACTGATATCCCCCCCTTTTTTTTAATTAAGTGATGTAAATCACATGTTTAGGGCAGTGTCAAAATTCACCTGCAGCATTCATTCCCCCTTTGCTTCCTCTGGTGTGTGTCCTAAAATTAGTTTTCCTAAAATTTCCTGAAGCAGCACTACATCATCATAAACCACATAGAGGTACATGGACCAGAACAAGTACCTGAGTTCACAATTCAAATGCTCATCACTAGGTTGCTGCAAAAACCAGAGTGCATAACTCTGTATCAGTGCTTTGAATAGTTACTTAAAAAAAAAAATACAATTCTTAAAATCCTCCAACTAGTTTGGCTGGTTGGGGGATTTGGGAAGTCACAGACCAAAAAAGGTGACTCTTCCCAGCTCTGCTCCTTGTACATTACCCTGAATTCCCCAGAACATGTCCAGGAGGCAAATGAGCACAATATGGAAATAACATTGCTATGTGCGGTAATGTCTCAGAGGAAATACAATGGTTTGCCCTGATAGGAGATGTCATCTCTGTGTCCAATGATGCGCTCAAGAGTTTTTTACACCATGATAGAAATCCTGTGGATCAGACCAAATGCCTCTGCAGTCCAGCAGTCTGAGTTTCACAGAGGCCAAATGGATATCAGCAGGGAGCTCCCAAGCAGAAGATGAGGGCAATAGTAATCTCTTAGCATCTATCCCATGCAACTGCTGTCCATGGGCATCCTACTTTTGCAGGCTCCATATGGCCATCATGGCTTAGTAGCAATTGTCCCACCTGCTTCACTGTAAATTTGTCCAATCTACTCTTAATGCCATCGAACCTTGTAGCCATTGCTATCTACCATACTACTTATCACCATAAATGAATTATAAAAACTTAAGAACCTTGCAAGTTTGCTTAAGCCAACCACTTTCTTCTTGGGCAAGTATCCAATGTGGACCTGCAAATCAGAAAATCAGATGAAAAACTATTAACATCAGAGTTTGGAAAATTTCTTTCTTGGTACTTCAGTTCCCAGAATCCCCAGCTAAATCCAAGATCCCTACCTTGCCAAAGAAAGGGACCATGTGATGTTCACAAAGGGAAAACATCTCAATGTCCTTCACAATCACCATCTCATCGTGGTCCTCGTCAAAGACCGCATCATTGAGTATCTCTGGAAAGGATAAAGAGATGTTCTTCATGAAAGAAGGGACAAAAATGATTTCTTAATCCAGTCTTGTCCCTGCATGTAAAACAAAAGGTCTACTCATCCTCACATTTTTAGAAGGGGGGGAGTAATAATGAGACTGTTAACCAAGATCTGAAGGGCCAAATTCAGTTTCAGAAAAAATCTCAAACACCAAACTCCAGTGGGGGAGCTATGTCCAAAAAAACAAAGCATCAGACGAAATCTATCAATGCATTTTGAGTTTAAATGCCCTTATTAAGGTAAAGGTAAAGGTTCATCCCCGTTTCCAAGCTGTAGAGCCAGCGTTTGTCCGTAGACAGTTTCCGTGGTCACATGGCCAGCACGACTTAAACACGGAATGCCTTTACCTTCCCACCGAGGTGGTACCTATTTATCTACTTGCATTTTTACATGCTTTCAAACTGCTAGGTTGGCAGGAGCTGGGGCAAGAGACGGGAGCTCACTCCGTCACGTGGATTCGATATTACGACTTCTGATCTTGCAGCACAGAGGCTTCTGTGGTTTAACCCGCAGTGCCACCATGTCCCTTCTATAAATAAATAAATGCCGTTGTTGTTTAGTCATTTAGTCATGTCCGACTCTTCGTGACCCCATGGACCAGAGCACAGCAGGCCCTCCTGTCTTCCACTGCCTCCCGGAGCTGGGTCAAATTCATGTTGGTAGCTTCGATGACAGTGTCCAATCATCTCATCCTGTCCAACCCTTATTAGCAAGACATAAATCTCAGGAAGGGACGTGGTGGCGCTGTGGGCTAAACCGCAGAAGCCTGTGCTGCAGGTTCAGAAGATCCGGCAGTCGTAAGATCGAATCCACGCAACGGAATGAGCACCCGTCGCTTGTCCCAGCTCCCGCCAACCTAGCGGTTCGAAAGCATGCAAATGCGAGTAGATAAATAGGGACCACCTCGGTGGGAAGGTAAACAGCGTTCCGTGTCTAAATCACACTGGCCATGTGACCACGGAAAGATTGTCTTCGGACAAAAACGCTGGCTCTATGGCTTGAAGAGTGGGATGAGCGCCGCCCCCTAGAGTCGGACACGACTGGACAAAAATTGTCAAGGGGAACCTTTACCTTTACCTTTAAATCTCAGGAAGGCATTTCAGAATGTGAAATCATCCACACAAAAGCTGGATGATCACAAAATGATGGTGTCAAGGAGGTATAGCCATCTAAGCCAAATTCAGTACCAGGGCCCAAGATTTTTATACAGTTCAGGCTCCAACAAAGCCAGAAGGATGTATCAACAGGATGAAGCCAATGAATTTGTCCCCATTCTCTACCTCACATGATTCTAATAAAAAAGAGGCAGAAGTGAACTTGTGAATGAGGCTGGGCTAACAACGGAATCCTACAGACATCTTTTAAAAACTAAGACCAACTGATTTCAATGGGGCTTGCTTTCAGGCAGAGCTTAGAAAAGTTGCTTTTTTTGGATACAACTACCCAAATTTCTCAGCCAGCATATCCATTACTCAGGAGTCAGGGAGTGAATACAGTAGCCCAAAAAAAGTAACCTTTTTCAAGGTCTTCTCTCAGTTTGAGGATGTTGAGATAAAATGATGTAGACAAGGGTTGGGTAAGCCTGGAAAAGTCTATCCCACTCCCAGGGGGCAGATCTTGTTGATAAAGAGTTCTGAAAACAACCATTAATTCCAATTTATTTTTTCCTGCTTTGTGATGAAAACTTCATCCAAATATGGAAACACTGACATCAGTATGTTAAAACAATAATCATGGAATCATAGAAGTGTAGAACTGTAGGGCATAAAATCCTATGCCCTATCAAAGGGGGATATTTACAGCTAAAGTTCCCAAACAGATGACCATTTAATTTCTGTTTAAAAATTTCCAATGAGAGAGTGAGTCTACTAACCCTCTAAGGCCAGTCCAATCCACTACACCATTGAACAGCTCAAAGTCAGACCGTTCTTCCTAATGTTTAGGTGCAATCTCCTTTTACAAAATTTGAAGCCATTTCTTTGCATCCTATCCTCTGGAGCTATAGAAAACAAGCTTGCTCCATCTTTCATGATGAAACCCTTCAGATATGTCTATATATTGATATAAAAATGCAATGAAAAGCCTGGAGGAACACAGAACAGCCTAAAAATATTGGGAAAAGAAGCAAATGTCTGAGAAAACATCTTCAAAACCTCTTTAAAAGCAGGAAGAAAAGTCTTGTTAGCTCTCCTTTGGGAAGGAACTCCAGTACCCTAGCACCACATCTTGTTCCATGCACCTGCCCACCAATTACTAGCAAGTATGGGTTAGAAAGCCAGCTTGAAGGCTCAAGTATGTTTGGATAAAAAAAGGTACATGGATGAAGGCAAAAAAGAATTAACAAAGAGGTGGGAAATGCATGGCCCTCCAGGTTGTTGACCTGCAATTCCCATCATACAGACGGCTGGTTATGCTGACTGGGACTGGTAGGAAATGCAGTAAAACAAGCCTTATTCTACTGGATCATCAGGAGGGGGGGTTCCATATTGGATTATAATTCATATGTCTAAACCATGTTTCACTCCAATTCCCCACACCCTTGCTCTACCCCTTGGAACAAGAATCTTGTCATGCCACGTGCTAGTACACATCTCCCTTGAACTGCACAGGTCTGAACAGCATAGTTTTGGTTATAGATGGATTTTTCATCAATAAATATCCAATAAATATTCAATACTGTACCTCTGGCCTCCCAGAATCCTACGACTCTGAAGGCATCAAAGTAGTTTTGCCCCCAAACACAGTACTGTATCTCTAATTCTGCTGGTAGAACAAGGAGTCATAAGGATCTTTAAGGCTCATTATATATGATACTGTATGGAAAGGACTGTCAACACTACACAAGAGAACCCAAGAGAGAGAAGTGTTTTCTCTCTCTCTTTATCATTGTAGTTACATTTTGGGGGGGGCATAAGAGTTGGACACGGACTTTGAACTATGTGGCGGCATGGCATGCTGAACCCCAGTGTAGTTGAAGGGAGAAGTATAAATATTCTACTCCCATTGAGCTGCAAACTCTTCATTCATACAAAAAACCAAGAAAAATCCTCAAGTGCCCAGTTAAAGCTGAATGAATGCATTATAGAAATAATCTGGTAACCTTGGAACAAGATGATGGCTTAATACAAGGATTTCTGGTCAACTTGCTTCTGGGTAGCAATTAGAGAACGGAACTAAGAAGCTGATTACTGTAATCAGGGATTAATGCAGTATTGAAAATGAAAAGAGAAGAGCTTATATTTGCTGTGTCACTACAGGGTCAATCATAACGAATAAGGAGATACAAATAGTTACTGTGATATTAGCTTGTTGGATATATTGGAGACCATATATTTTTTAGTTTTCTTATCAAGAAACATCCCATTGAATTGAACTGCAGACCTGTCTATTTTCTGCATTATCAGATTGTTGTTCTTTGCTGTTAAGATGAAACCAATTTACAGCGACTCTAACAGGGCTTTCAAGGTAAATGGGGTATCTGAGAAGTAATTAATCCCCCATCCAATGGGTTTCCATCACTGAGTGAATAATTAAACCCAGGTCTTCTGAGTCCTAGTCCATCACTCTCTCCACTGCACCACACTGCACATTATAATCAGGATACAGAAACGGGAGAGAGAAAAAACTGGAATCTGTCCCTGGTATTTGCCCATGTTTCTACAAAAAGAAATGCAATTTCCCGGTGGGTAGCTGTGTTAGGGCTTGTCCATGTATCTATTTTTGAGCCAGCTAAATAAGGTCACTAGGAGTTCCAGTCAGGCATTTGGTGCAATCTTCACATCCAAATAGCATAAGGATAATAAGCTGCCCTATTTGGTCCTCACCATCTCACTGTTAGCAATGGGAGAGAGGAGAGAGGAGTGGACAAGGAGTGGGATTTTTGTTTGCCCTTGCTGCCACTGCTGCTCTGCTTGCCCCTTGTAAAAAGCTAAGACAATCCATACAGACAAAGACAGACATAGGCATGCACACGCAGTGTGACTCCTTGTGCTGCCTTTGGAAATTAAACACTTCCACAGAGCCCAGGAAGCGTTAAACTTGCCTGTATCATGAAGCTGCTCTCTTATTAAGCCATTTCATGATACTGGCAAATTGAAGGAGAAAGGCTTCCTTTGCTCTGTCTGGAGTGACAAGTAGACTGATCCTACCTTTCCAAGAAATTAGAAGCCCCTTGACGGGAGGGGGGGGCACTCCAGCAAAGCCATTGTTTGATCACGACTTCAAGAGCGCACCATCCCATCCCTGCAACGGTCCAATGTGATAGGCTACCATGCAAAAGTTGAATCCTCCTGTGCACGCATGAACCCCTGCATGCCTGTGTGTGGATGTATACTTTGGCTAGGCTTTTTAAAAAAGGGGCAAGTGAGGTCAGGAGGAGGAGACAAGGAAGGGGATTTTCATTTGCTTTTCTCAATTGCATCTTTAAGACAAATGCAAACACACACACCCCCGTTGCCCTCACCTCTCACTTCTGACAGCCGGCTGGCTGGGATCAAACAGGGTTGTTTCAGTTTTCTATGCCAGTGATCCCCAACCTTGGGCATCCAGATGTTCTTGGACTACAACTCCAGAAGCCTTCACCACCACCTCTGCTGGCCAGGATTTCTAGGAGTTGAAGTCCAAGAACATCTGGAAGCCCAAGGTTGGGGATCACTGTTCTATGCCATTTGGATGCAAAGATAACACCAAATAGCATATCAGACCTTCTAGAGACCTCACTTAACCTTCTCCAAAATGCATGTGTAGACAAGCTCAGATCTGCAACAGGAAAAAAAAAAGATAAGTCATGACACAAGCTTTCATGCACAGCTTATGTAGTTCCACTTTTCAATTCCCTAAACATAAGAGAAACACTCTGTGTACCTAGGACTAAGCCCATTAAGCACAAGACTTCCTTTCCCGCACTACAGTTTGACTGTACCGGACTAACAAAGATTATGTAACTGAAGCCCCCAAAGTGTTCTACAAATCTGCTGTTTGTGGATGATGACAATGTCAAAGCCTCTTTTTCATTTTAACTCTTCCGCTCCTATGTGCTACGTAACGAATGGAGGGGATAGTAGGATTACTCTGTAATATTTACTTGGAGTGGATGTATCAGTGTGTCTGTGTTTGAGTAGGGGGTGACAGCTGGTCTAAATTTGCTTACTTTGGGGGAGGGTCATTTTCCTGTCCTATCAGAGTGTCTCTCCCAAAGAATAGCTGCCTGTGTCACCTGTTCCTCTCAGTCCTAGCTGCCATGGGTGCCTACACCAAAGGAGGACCAGAAGGTGTTAACTAGGAACTTGGCCTTGTCGGTGGTGGCTCTATTTTTGTGGAACTCACTCCCATCAATCGTTTGCCAAGCCCCCTCCCTCCAGGCCTTTCGCAGGCTAGTTAAGGCAGAATTCTTTAAAGAAGCCTTAAGTAATATTCTTACCCTACAGTTGTCCTTCTCTTGATCTTCATTTGTATTATCTAGCTCAGTGGTTGCCATATGTTTCACTCCTGTCACTGTCTTTGTTATTTTTGTTGTTTGTATTTAAGTTTAATTTTATTGTTTGCTTGTTGGGATGGTGATTGGAATATTTTAATATTTGTTGTAACCTGCCCAGGACAGTGCTTTTTCACTGAATTGGCATTATAAAAGTTGCACAAACAAATAAACTTTCAACCATAACTTTTCCCCTCTAAACAAAACCTTATGTCTCTCTTTTGGAATACTTACTTACCTCACAAATACACCACTCACCAACAAAATAATCAAGCAGCAAACACAGTACAACTTCAATACTAAATATAAACATAAAATGTAATGGTAGTTTCCATTTCTAATCATCAACATTAACACTTCCTTTTATCTGCCCTAAATTTCTTATCATCACCCATCTTCACCAGATGTCCTCGGATTTTAATATTATGAGATGGGAGAAAAACTTCGTTCTGCTCCACGCCATTTCGCTTTGTTCAATTTCTCCACACCATATATCACTTTATACATCTTTACAATGCTTGTTCCACCCTGCTGGTGTTCCACCTTTACAATGCTCTTGTTACTGTACTCCCTTTTTTCAAATTGGACAGTAGAAATGCTATGACTTTTCCTCATAGTGGTATTGTTTTAGCTCCCTATTCATTTTGCTTTTCCATCTTCAGGTGTACAATATCTCATTCTCAAGCTGTAGCAAGTGGAACAGTATACAGTTTCCTAAGTTTGGCTGCAGCTCGTATAAGGCATTGAGACATTATGATCCTGGCAGTTTTATTTTCCACCCCTTTTCCTAATACTGTAATCCCTAATTGGAGTACAGGACCAACGCAAACCAAAGACAATGTTTTTGCACTGACACAGTCCTTTGCAAGTGCAGAGAAGAACAGGTACTGTAACTTCACACATATGTCAGTGCAGTCTATGCCCACTCAACATGTACTATGGAAGACATGATGTTAGCTGCCCGAAATGCTGTTGAAGTTTTCTGTTATTTGATGAAAATTATCTGATATATTTATTAATAGGACTGTGGTGCTTCTGACATGAACAAAGCATGAAATCCAGCTTTGTCACCAGTTTGACATTTTCATTCAGCTCCCCAAAACAACCCCAAGATCCCTTTCCCAAAAAAGCACAACTATTTCAGAATAGGTTAAAAAAGGGTAAGATGTTGCTTTCCTGTGGAATCTAACTTCTTAACAAATTGGTTGATAACTGAAGTTGAGTAGCGTACTAGGAGATGGCCTTTGTGTGCTTTTTTTAATCTTTAAGAACTATTTTAAGAGGTAAGATGCAAACATATAGTTTCTTGCCCACACTATGATTATATAAGGCAGGGGTGAAGAAAACAGCTTTTCCAAATTTTGTTGATTCCCACTTCAACAAGCCCCTCTCAACATGAAAAGAATGGTAAGCCAACAATGGGTGGAACACCAAAGATTTTGTCTGATGCAGAGTGTCTTTTTAAACTTTGCGTCATGCAGACATTTGTGACTTTGTTTATTCCATAGTTAAAGATTTTGTATACTTTGGTTCTATAATCAATCCAAAGGGAGACTTCAGCCAAGAAATCAGAACACTGAGAAGGGCAGCAGTGAAGGAATTAGAAATGATCATCAGGTGCACGGATATGTCACTGGAAATCGAGACAAAGATCATACACACACTTGCATTTCTGATCATTATGTATGGGTGTGAAAATAGGACAGTAAAGAAAGCTGACAGGAAAAAAACTGTTTGCAATATGGTGGAGGAGAGATTTGCAGACAGCCTGGATTGCCAAAAGGATGAAAAAGTGGGTCCTATATCAAATCCAACCTGAGCTATCTCTGGAGGCAAAAATGACAAAACAGAGGTTGTCCTCCTTTGGGCACATTATGAGAAGGCAGGGATAAACAATAATGCTGGGAAAGGTGGAAGGCAGCAGGAAGAGAGGAAGACAAAATATGAGATGGATTGACTCCCTAAAGGAAGCCACAGGCTTGAGCTTGCTAGAGCTGAACAAGGCTGTTCAGGCAATTCAGTATGTAACAGGTATATAACATAACTTATTCAGTTATAGTGTGGCTTGGCAATTTGTGACTCACCAATGGATGCTGAAGTACTGTAAAAGCAGTAGGGACTGATATCCACTGGGTTCGGGATCATGGAGAGCAGACAGTGCATTTGGCTCTCTAACATGCAATTGCATGCAGTCAAGTCAATTCTGACTTTCGTTAACCCTTTCCAGGTTTTTCCATGTAGAGAATACTCAAAGTGGTTTATTCCCTCAGAAGAAGAGAACAATAAACCACTTCTGTGTATTCTCTACCAAAAAAACAGTGGAAAGGGTTGCCATAAGCTGGAATTGTTATTATTATCTCTTACATAGATTTATTTTAGTATGAGTTTTTATCAATTATAATCCATTTCTTCAGACACAAAGAATTGGATTTGAAGAAGTAGACAGTAACCAAAAAAGGCTCACACTAAAATTAATCTGCTAAAGATGCCACAATACTTCTGTTTGTGTTTTTAAGAGAAATGTATTGATGGTGTATCAGATTAATCTGGGTGTTTTTGGTTGGTTGTAATTTCTTGCTGTATTTAATATAACTTTGCAGACAGGCTAATCCCGGTGTGGTTTATTTTTTCCTCCTTGTGAAAAAAAGTCATACGGTATTTGAAAAAAATAAAACCTGAAGTATGATATATACATCTTAAAGAACAATAAGAGTAATGAAGGAATGAATTCCACTACTAAAACCAGGGCCGGACTGGGACCAAAAATCGGCCCTGGCATTTAGAGCACACAGGCCCACCGGCTGTGGGGACACTCTCTCCTGATATAAATGAAAGGTAGATACTGAGCTGAGGAAACAACTGTCTATAATGAAGTTTATTCATGAATTAACAACACATTTTTTGTTAACTTGTGACTCTGTAAATCTCTCCAATCCTACACTAATTATTTATGAACTAAACTGAATTAATTCTGACTTATTCTATATTCAGAATGGTCAAAGGCATTTGCTAGGACACTCAAAGTGGTATGACAGTCCCCACTATTCAAGTCAGGAAACACTGGGCATAAGCCTAGCATAGTTATTTGGGCACCTGAAGTGTGTCACACTCTTTCCTTCCCTCCCTCCCTGGCCATAAAGACATGCCAGTAATAACAACATTAATTGTCACTGTTTCCCTCTGCCAACAGCAGGGCCAGCCCTGAGGAAAAACCCCAGTAACCCAAACACTGAACAATATGGCTTAAACAGGTGATCTGCCACGACAATTGGTAGTGAAAACCCCGGGGTGCCCTTGAAGCGAGTCACGTTTTCCCACTCTCTCCTACCTTACAGGGTTGCTGAGGAGAAAATAGTCAGGCGAGTCATGTATTCCACCTTCAGTTCAGTGCAAGAAAAGCAGGATATAAATCTAACCGCAAAATAAATAAATATCCTGATGGGGAACACTGGAAATGATGATTATTCCGCATTCTAAGCTTCTTCCCACCCTTCTAACGTCCTGGAAAACCCAATAGGCATATACTGTAGTTAGGCAGGATGTCTTCCAGGAGGAGCACCATCGTTTTGTGACGGTGGATTAAACAGGGGAGAGGGAGGCTGACATAAAAATAATAGAAAGCCCACGAACTAGCGGCAGGGGACTCACCTGCGACGGTTTCGCGGTAGCCCTTGGTGAGAAACTGTATGGCTTTGGCCGCCCGTCGGGGGGTAAGCTGGAGCCCTTCCCTGGCCGGGTCTTCGCCCAGGCTCTGTAAGATGGTGCCGTAGGCGGCTTCGAGCGCCGGCAAGGAGTCCCGCTCCTCCTCCTCCTCCTCCTCCTCCTCGGCCTCCCGCGCCCGGCTGCACCTGCCGCCCAGCGGCGCCCGGGGATGCTTCACGGCTTGCTTCCGCGCCTCAGGGCCGCCGCTTTGCAGCTCGCCCAGGCTCTTGAAGAGGGCCAAGGGACCCGCGTCCCCGTTCTGGTAGCACGGCGGCTCCGGCTGAGGGGGCTCCATGGCCGTGCGAGGCAGGGGCCAAGGCCAAGGCCGGGACGGAAAACTGGGCCGGGGCCGGGGAGTTATCTCCTCAGCCACTGCTTGGCAAAAAAAAAAAGAAGAAGAGTCGCTGTGAGGCCACGCGCGCCTTTCCTCCCCCCTCCCGTCGCTTTTTTTCCCTTCCTTTTTTTCCTTTTCTTTTTTTGCAAAGGGTGCCTAAGTGTGGTGCATGCCCAAGGCGGGAACAAGCGGAGGCCTTAGAGCTCGTCGGGAGGGAGCCTTGGCGCGGGAAGCCGGGCTGTCTCCAGGGAACCCTGGATTACTTCTTCTTGCCTCGCCACACCCGGCCCGGAGCTGTCCAAGCCCGAGCCGTCGGGTATTTATGGCGCCCTTTGGCCACGGCAATCTGCCTTTCGTCCGTCAGAAGGCTACGTCTTGCGACTGTCAGCTGGGCGAGCTTCCTTAAGGCGCCCTTTGTCACCTGTCGCTTGCGCCGGCTGGCTATAATCGGAGGAAATAAGGTTAGGATACGAGTGTTAGACATGCCTCGGCGCACGTGGGTAACGCGCGCAAGCCCGGGCTGAAGAGGCGAGGCAAGCAGGGCCCCGCAGTCATCGCTGCACTTCTCTTCGTGCATCTCCACCCCGGCTTGATTTCCCAGTTTTCCTCGCCCGAGAGCATCGCTTGCACAGTCAGGGCATAGAAGTTGTACCAAGGGGCTCCTCACACATTGTTTTCAAGGTGTGGGCACGTCTGTGTGAGTTGTTTGAAGCTTTCTAGATAGGAAATGGCTCTATAATAATGTTGTTCGCTGAAGGGTCGCCTCCGATTGGTGGCTAAAAATAATGCAGGATATACAGTATTAACCTTATGAATGAGTTCTCTAAAAATGCCCTCTCATAAACTGCCCAGCTCAGCTCCTGCACATTCAAGGCCGTGATTTCCTTTATGGAGTCAACCCACTTCATATTTAATCTTCAACTGTTCCTAGCATTGTATCGTCATTTCCAACGAGTCTTGGGTTCTAATGAGCCTAAACCTCCGTTTCATCACTTGCTTGTAGAGAGACTTCTATGCATATAGGTAAAGGTTCCCTGTGACATTTAGTCCAGTCGTGTCGGACTCTAGGGGGCAGTGTTCATCCCCGTCTCCAAGCCATAGAGCCAGCCTTTCTCTGAAGACAGTTTCTGTGGTCACGTGACCAGCGCGACTAGACAACATGGTTACCTTCCCACTGAGGTGGTACCTATTTATCTACTCACATTTTTACATGCTTTCAAACTGCTAGGTTGGCAGGAGCTGGGACAAGTCACGTGGATTTGATCTTTCGACTCCTAGTCGAAAGATCTTGCAGCAGAGGCTTCTGCAGTTTAACCTGCAGCGCCACCACGTCCCTTTCATGCGTATAGTAATATAATTTAAAACTACATTGCACCTCTTCTATAGTGTTTGAGAATTTGGTGAACACATTTCTGCAGTAAACTTATTTATTTGTACTGTACTCTCCTGCTGTTGATTTCTCACCTTCTTTGGACTGTGTTTGCATATCAGTAATTCATTGGTATCTCATCAGTATTATATGTCCCTGTGCAGGGGTCACTCTTGACTTCCTGATTTCATTCACCAGCCTGCTTACCACATAACAGTTTGGCTCCTAAATTCATTTGCTTGTAAAATCACCAAATCCGGATCCTTAAAAAATTGCCCAAAATTCAGTTGCAGTTCCCAACTATGTCTGTCAGTAGCATGACCCTTGCCCATTTACCTTTAAAATGAATTCAAACTTTATATGTTATCTGAACCCTATTTGAAGGGTGCAGTTGAAATGTAATGCAGTGCCTAGCTGTTGTTTGTGTTCTCCACTGGGTATATACCTCAATCGATTATGTACTCTGACCCAACTGGAATTTATCAGAACAGTCCCAACCTTTGCACACCAAAAGAGATCCTTTCACAGCTGTATTAAGCCATATCAATAACTATTCCTATCAGTTTTCATTTTCACCAGGAGCTAGTCTTTTCAAAAGCTAATAAACCTTAATTGCCCATTCAAGACCAAGCTGGCCCCAAATACTTTGGGATAGTAGGTTAAAATAGAAGTCTTTGCTCCATGCTTCACTATCCCACCTGCTGTGAGAACTGCAGCTAAGATCAGAAGGGAAAGGAGGCCTGGTTCCATTATATCATTGACCTTATTCATATGTACCATATTTTTTGCTCCATAAGACACACTCCCCCCCCCAAAAAGTGTGCTTCATCAGGAGGTCAGACTGCATAATACCTGGAGATGATTCCAGCTGTGCAGTTCTGTTTCTAATCAACTATTCTTATATATGTAGGATATCTTGCTATCCCTTATCAGCCTGCGGCACTGCAGTATATTAAGCAGTGAAACTTGCTGAACCATTCCTGGTGAAACACAACTTCCATAAAAATGTGTAACCATTTTAATGCAGATGCTGGCCATAAGAATGTCAGCTGTTAAGACAGTCATTGTGCGAGGGTGTTACCTGCATTTCAGAGCAGTTTTGATGAAGAATACAGACAGTATATAGAAGAGCTGTGATCAAATTTCTAGTCTTAATATATTTTAAGTTCCTAGTATAAAGTAAATTTATTGGTGGGGACTGTGCTCCCCACAACCCAGCACTCTCCTTTCCGGAACTAGGGTGGCGCTGAGTTCCCCCAGACTATTGGTTCTGGGGGACTTCAATGTCCATGCTGAGGTCGGGGCCACAGGCCCAGCTCTTGAGTTATTGAAAACCATGGCTTCCTTGGATGTGTCCCAATTAGTTAACGCCCCCACCCACATGGCAGATCACACACTAGACCTGGTATTCTCAACAGAACAGAGAGAGGGTGGACCAATGGTGACCGACTTGGTTGGACCACTACCTAATAAAATGCAACCTCCTAGTGGGACTTCTCCCCCCCCCGCCCGTGGGGAGCAGGGACTCATTAAGATGGTCCACCCCCACAGACTATTGGATCTGGTTGGTTTCCAAAATGCAATGCAGGGTGATCTAGGTCAGTGGTTCTTAACGTGGGCGATAATGCCCCCCAGGGGGCGATTTCATTTTTCAGGGGGGTGGTAGAACGAAAAGGGGCGGCATGGGGGCGCTGGAGCAAGCCAAACCTGTGAAGATGGCTGCAGCCTTTTTACAGTGTGCATGAATATATATTTTCCTCCAATCTTAATTTAGTTTCAGACTTTTTGTCTTGAAATTTTTAGGTCCTGCATTTGTTTTTATACCCTTTTTATATTTCTTTTTGCGTCTTAAAATTCACTTGTAATTAAATCATAAAATGTTACTTTTGGGGGGCATTTCATTTTCTTGCAATTGAATTTTGTTTTCAGGGGTCATTGGATTTAAGTGTCATAAATAAATAAATAAAGAAAGAAAGAAAGATATCATCACCGCAGGGAGGGGGGCGATGATAACTTCCTCAATGGCTCAAGGGGGCGTTTCTTTCAAAAAGGTTAAGAACCACTGATCTAGGTGGTGCTCCTGTTGAAGCTCTGGTGGATGAATGGTACACGGCTGACTCAGTCGCTCCTAAAGGCCCCTCCATTCCCAACCTCGGCCAGCTGCTTGGTATAACCAGCAGCTGCAGGGGTTGAAGCATAATAGGAGGAGGCTAGAGGGCATTTAGAGATGGGTCCCAATGGCAGCTAATTTAAAACCACAAAAATCGTGTTAAATATTTATATAAGAAAATCTTACTTCAGGCTCTGGTTCAAAGAGAACTGTTCTGCATTGTACGTGATTTATCCAGGATTTATCACAGTAACGGGTCTCCCAGTAGTATTTCCTATGACCAATTTTCAGCCTTTTAAAAACATAATGTGGAGGCCATCCACCGAGACCTAAATATCTACTCTTGATTGAGCCGAGACATCCAGTGCATCGCCTTGCCTGTCAATTCTAACACAATTTCTGCTCGTGACGTCAACGGAGGTTGACGGGGTCCTGGATCACTGTAGGGCCACCACCTCCTCATTAGATCCTTGCCTGGCCTGATTCTTGAAAGCGGCCAGGCCTTTAACAACTGAAAGAGTGGAGGCTATTACTAATGGATCTCATCTTGAGGGCAGGATTCCCCTTGCCCTCAAGGAGACACTCATTAGGCTGATCTGGAAAGAAACTAATTTGGTGGCTGATGATTGTCCAGTCGCCAGTAAGTGGACCCTCAACTTACAGACGGCTCGACTTACAGACTTCTCTAGCTGCAAAATTTAGGTTCGACTTGCAGCCGGAGAATCGACCTACAGATCAGAAAAAAACCCAAAATGGAACAAAAACGGCCGGTTACGGATTAATCGGTTTTCAATGCATTGTAGGTCAATGGAGACTCGACCTACAGACTTTTCAACCTGCAGCCACCATTCCAATACAGATTAATTCCGTAAGTAGAGGGTCCACTGTATTCTGTTCACTGGCAAACTGGTGGTGACCGATCAGCTTCAGGCTCTCTTGGAGGAAAGCAACGCCCTTGATCTGTACCAGTCCAGGTTCAGGCCGCATCATGGCATGGAGACAGCATTGGTCACCCTGCGAGGTGACCTCGTGAGGGGGGCCAAAATGGGCAATATGTGTCACATTCCTGGGGGTTACAACAGCAGAGTCCAATAAGCCAGTCCTATGTCAGAAATTCAGAGAATGCAGAGCCGATATCCAAATACCAAAGCCAACTCACACAATGTAGTCCAGGGTCATAGTCCAAAGCCAAGGGTCCAGAGAACAAAGTTCAAGGAAGTCAGGAGCGTGGATGCAAGCCAGAGGTTTGACTTGTTGCATCCATGGGCTTCCAGCCATCTGGGAGCTGCTTATAAGGTAAAAACAGTCCTTGAACTGCTGGAAGCCTTTTCATCCTGTCAGAACTCAGGGCTAGTTGATCGGATGTCTCTGCAGGCAGCCTTTAAGCGATCCTCTGACCTTTTCGTCATAAGTCTTCCCCGAAGCCTGGCCCGAAGCCTATCTACTGGGGGAGGAGAATCTGGAGGTGATTCAGCTGTTTGT